ATTCATTTAAGTTATGAATTTAAAAGGTAGAAACTTTTACAGATTTAGTGGAACTAAAAGAAGCACTAATTGAGATAAAATATTTGCTAGAATTTATAGTCATCTCAGCTAAACGTGAAGTAACTTTACAGTGAATTATAATAATTTAGTTTTGCAAACAGGTAGAAGAATTTTTAAATGAGTCTGCACCGAATTGAAATTGGAACCAACCTTTCCTTGTAATGAATTCATATCCCCTTTGTGCAATAACGCTCATGAGATTGATTCAATTATATATAGGAACAACATATAGAAGTAAATTACGCGGTGCGTTAATTTCATTGCATAGAATTTAAATCTATATGATATATGTACTAAAACAGCTTATATTTATGTATATGAACTGTTCATAATTTAGATAATCATTGTGAAATATTAATTATACAATTTTAAACACAAATATCATTATATTTGTTATAATCATTTACTAACAGAAAGCGTTCTTTTTGGCATTTGCAAATTGTAATTTAATAAAATTAAATATTTTAGTTTCGAAAATTCGCTTGCCATGATAAGACACAAAATTTCATATTCATTTGACTAATTACAAAAATTGTAATTTTAATTTTATACTTGCCTGAAGAGGATGACAAAACCATGTCATCGAAACGTTGCTTAGCAATAAATTAAAAAATGACATAAAACTTGTGTTATTTAAAATACCTTCCGTGGATCAAAATTTTCACATTCTAATATATAATTGGAAAGGAAAATTATCATTATAATTTAAAATTAAATATTGTTAGAATAGAAAAATTCTAGTCTTTTTCAACTTGCAATTAACACAATTGATGATGATGAATGTTTCTGGAATCTTTAGTGAATTGTTTGATCAACTCACAACTATAATATAACAAGCAATTAGAAGATCCAACACAGAGAATGAGAGGGACTTAATGGCTCAGAGTGAACAACCTGATGCTTGCTTCCTAGTGTTCAGGCTCACTGAATAGAAAGTGAACTAAACAGATTAGAGATTGGAAGGACCATGCGAGTAGTAATGTTTACAGCCGACTGTAGTGATAGATAGACACTAACGAGAGGGTGGTGGAGGTGCTATCCTGTCGCTTGAAATATTCCACACCTTTGAGTTTGAGTTTCGATACGAATCTAAACTTGAATAAATCAGAAGTAAGCCTGATGATATCTGGAATGCATCGTTGCACTTTCAATTGTTGATGTTTATTGTACAATCTGTGTTCATTAATCTTTTGCTCGTTTTCAGCTAGCATCAAATTTTTTAAAAGTTTTCAAGAGAACATCCATTATTAATTATTCTAATGACTAGATCGAATTACAAACAATCAAAATTGAAATTGCTGCTATCAAATTAAAACAAACCAAATTGCTACTAAATTGCTGAAAAGTGTAAAGCAATGAAGTCCAGTCCAAATATTTATTAAGACTATGTTAGGATCATCTAAAGGTGTCCTAATTCTGTTCACCTTCTTCGGGAATGTTTAAAGTACAACCTTATTTGCGCCAGGTTATTTAGAAAAATTTATTTACTCTCTAGCTTAGAGCAAATGTAGGACTATGATGACCTGCTCTTCAAACTGTCCTAATCAAACTATTAATCCAAATTCAATATGGTCTCATGTTAATAGATCAAAGAATGTTTCGAGAATTCCTGGTAAGGTTTTGTATAATGGCCTTGAAATAGATAATTCATATGATATTCTAAATGCTTTTACTAGCTTTTTCCTAAGCGTTTATAAACCTTCTTTCACACATCCCGGAATATCTGAATTCCTCAAGGTTTTAATGTTGGACCATTACTCTTTGTTATATATTATAACGTTGAATTTAATTTATTATTGATTTCTATTTTAAATTTAATTTATTTATTATTACATTTTCAAGACAATCAACGTTATCTACACTTTTTAATTATTAATTTTGCCAATGCGCCATGTTATTTTACGGAAAATAACTGAACCTAAAAACATAGTTAAATAACCCGACAAGTAAATTTTATAATTCTAATTAGGGAAAACTAATAAACCAGCTCAGGAATTCCATTGTTACTTTATAGCAATAATAGATCGCGGAGCGGGGGGCTAAGGATAAACACCATTAATTAGACAAAATTTATAACAATAACACTATTAATTATTATTCATTTCAAATTTTAGAAAAAGTTAAATAATGTCAGAATGCCGAAAAACAAGATTTACATTTTATTTATTCAATTATACTTTAATAATAATGAGATCGATTCTAAAGGAAACAACTGCTAATTAATTTATCGGGAGTCACCGTACATTTGACGACGTTGGTGACGCCTCGTCTTATTTTTAAAATTTTAAATTTTAATTATTTTATACAAAAAAGATTAGAACACAACTTGACTCTACGAACACCAGAATGAGAATGAGAGTAATATGGCTGACGAGTCAAACTCAAAAGCGTCGCTAAACAGTGGCCTCTCTTCTTCGTGTCATTGAGATCAATTAATGTTCAATAATATAATACCCGCGACCGATAATCGATACGCAGTCGTCGGTAACGCAGATCTCTACACTATCCGATGTTGAATTTATTGATGCGAGAAGTCCATAGGAAATTGACTGCCCGTTTTAATTTGACAGATCGTCAACAAAACAGCAATTTCTCGTCTTCCTGATGTTCTTGAATATTCGGGACTCTCATCCAAATATATACACCAGGAAGCTCTTGCCTTGATGACTTCTAATTTCAATGATAGATAGTGATGTTCTTAACGTCTTTGTAACCCGGCGAGAATCCTCAATGCCTCCCGAGAGTTTTCATAACAGAACGAAAGGACAAATCAGAATCGAAATTATTTATTATAAGTCGACTATTAATCTGACGACTTTGGCATATATTTTATATTATTATAATTATTAATTATGCAGTTACAACCTCATATACAATTTTTTTGTACAACGCTAATCCTGGTCTTTAAGACTGTTGGATTTATTTTAATAAATTAATAAATAAAATAATTCTTTTCCTTGGATTTAGTCTGGAACTTTTTGGTTTCGGTGTTCGTAGATGAGTTTTCCTCTCCGTCACGTAAGGAATTCTTCAGTGCTGTTCTTATTATGGCTTCTTCTGTGGCCTTGCAAAAGTCTTGTATTCCTCCTCAAGTGCTGATATGAAGACTCCGAATCTTCTGCTGCCTGCTATCTGGACGGTTTTCACCTTCCCATAACAATACATCCCTCCAAAAGCCAATCTGTATAAAAATAATCAATCAGCTTAAATATCGTAATTCTCTTTGTTATCCAAACGATCTTAAATTTCTTTTATTAATTCATTTGCGGTTTAATCGAATCTACAAATTGACTTCCTCTGCATTAAAAAAAAGTTTATTCTCACAAAATGTAACCATTAATAAAATACATTTAAAAATTATTGCATCACGTGACTAATAACAATAAAGTCAACCTTAAATTTTTGTCACGTTGAGAATTATTGCGAATTGGGAATACCTTATTTTGAAGAGTTCATGAAACATTTATCACACACACACACACACAAGATGATGGCGGTAGTAGTACACCTTTCATTGTTGGAAAAATCATAAAACTTAGAGGGAAAGTAATATGAAACGAAAAGAGAACCCATAGGAGGAGCGAGCACACGAAAGTTATTCTTCCCAGTAAAGAAAAATTTTCTCGTTATACTCGTAAAGAAGCGGCGAAATAAAGCGACGAAATAAAGTAGATTAAAAGTGCTGGCGGTGGAGTATAAGGTCAGATAAAGTGCGTCAAGTGCTGCTGACTCAGAAATAGAAATACGTGCTGAGCAGAAAATCGGATTGACTATTCGCAAGTCGTACAATTCAAGTAATATATATATATTGTCTCTTCAAAAATTGTGAAAAAATTAGTTTCCTTATTCTCAATATGTTTATGAATATTTAGAGGATCTATACAATGAATTTTAAAATAATTTAGAGAGATTTGTGAGTATAATTATTTTCGTACGCAAAAAATAATTTGGTATTTAATTTTTCTTTTGTCTAAATATTTTCAAACTGATTCTAAAGCTCAGAAAGTTATTGGAACGTGACAATTCGTTTTTTATATGTTTTATTGTAAACTAATGTTCACGTGTGGTAAAATTTTATAATTTTTCTATCATGCCTATCAGCTAGAATATATAATAAAAAAAACCCCGTACATCAACATATTATTGGAGCAGAAGAAAAAGTGTGGAAAAAACATCCTTCCTTTATGAATTGTGCGATGAAGTATTATAGTTCACGAATATTTTGCCAGGGGAGTCTGGAGCAATCGTTAATTTTTAATGCTTGCGATGGAAAAAAAATGCTTGATATAAAATTGACAGAAGCCCTCTCGGACGCGTGCGATGAAAGCCCATTTTTTTATTGTTTCTTCCATAACAAGCGCCACCGGTTTTCGCGGCGTTCACTCGTTAATGGAAATTCGTGTCGGTGATCATTCGTTCGTCCTCTATGCCACTATCGATTCAGCCACATCGAATACCAGTGTGGCATGGCAGAGAGAATAATTAACGATATCCTGTATCTCCTATGGTCACGATTCTTTTTTTTTTTATTTTAATTGCTTTGGTTGGTTTATCGTGCCAACACAGGTGTATAGAAGTTTAAAAATAGTCGAAACCGGCATTAGATATCCCAAAAAGGAAACATTGGTTATCAAAATTATATTAAATTTTTTCTAGTTAAACTACAATCTTATTTGCGTCAGTAGGTTATTTAAAAAAATGACTTTTTAACTTAGAAGAAATGTTTTAGATTTAACATTCAAATGGTAAAATGCCTTGACATTTGTTGATTTTCTTTTTTGAACTCCCAAAGATTGGGATCATAAAGTGAAGACATGACGTCGTAAAATGACTTTTTGACGATTATAACTTTGGGAAATGTGATAAATTATGAAATTTAATTAATTATAGAATAACTAATTAAATTAGAAGGAGTGTAATAAAGATAATGATGTTTGCAGGAACTGAACAGCCAATATTTGGATCCAGTGGAGGTCTTTCGTGGAATACCGTACGCTGCGCCACCTGCGGGAACCTTACGAATGAAACCACCAATGCCACCAATACCTTGGGCGGGAATAAAACTTGCCGACACTTTTGGAGCTGTTTGTCCACAAAAATTGCCAGACATCAGCAATATGTCAATAGCACTAACTCATATGCCAAAAAGTCGATATACCCAATTGCAACGATTTTACACACTTCTGACCAATCAGAGCGAAGACTGTCTATTCTTAAATCTCTACATTCCTGGAAGTGGTAAGTGATTAATTTAAAAAAAAAAAGAAAATCCACTTAAATTTTTTTAGTAAGAGCGTGAAACCAAAGAAACCGTAACTACAAAAAGAATCTTTCACTTTTTTTTCTGTTGCACTTTAATAATAATTCCATGAGCTGATTTATAAAAACAGTAATTTTTTTTTATATCTGCCATCTCGGTATGTCGACGACTTCCTTCGGATTGCATTTTCCAAGGTGGGGGGATGAGAAAAAAAGGAAATCCACTCTCCTTAATGAATTTTCAGTCCGGCTAATTCACTCACGTAATTTTCTCTGACTTTGTAACTGAGTCAGTCCAGTACCTTTGAACAAAGCGAGGGAATCTTTGCACCAGTTATAGTACACAATTAAAGGCGACACGAACTCCCAGGGGGTTGGTTAATTAATTGCCACCAGCTGTCACTTCGAAATTCCGTATCAAGGATTTTAATAAAGAAACCGTCTCTCGGCTTTTTTAGTCCGGAAAAATCAACGTGAGCCAGTAAATAGGCAAAAATTTTTTAATAATCTCCATTATACAATGAATCTAGCTATCAGAAATTCTTTTTATAATTTACTTTTCATTCACTTGGATTAGAGGAAATTAAGTTATTCAATGAACACGATTTCCTTTTGCATTTTAATCAATTAATTGAATATATAGAACTTCTAAGAATGGAAATGTTAATTCTAATATTTTAATTAACAAAATCATTTAATAAGTAAACACATGTCCATTAGAACCTTTATGACAATTATTTTCTCAATGTTTGCATTTCGGTCAATTGTTGTTGAATTTATTCACAATTGTTATCACCATCTGAATTTATAGTGAAACCCAACGAGAATCCTTCTGAATCGTTTCTGGTTTCTGTAAATGATGGTAAACAGACTTCGAAGTGAATTGGTGAGTTTTTGTTGAGTTTCACATGGATTTTCGTATAGCAACTGAACCACTCTTTACATTCCCTCTACTTTGGTTTACTAGGGATTCCTATAAAGTTCTCTCTGAAATATGCACACTCGACAATTATTACTGCTCATGTCAGGAAGTCTCATACTTTTTTCAATTAACAAAACAATCTAAAGTCGAGATATTTGATAATTAGATTTGGAAGTAAATTTTAGTTTCTTGACAACTTTATGACATGAAGGGATAAATTTTAAAATAACCCTAAAGGATTTGATTTAATTTTATCCATGTGAATGTGAATCTTCACAATGAGAAATTTATTTGTACTTCTGTAACGTACTTAGAAACTACTGTAAAGTATTTTGAATTTTTTATGATGTTCCTTAAAAGGTTAACCAGAAACTCATGTAGAAACTTGTATTTAACAAACTTTGCAAAGATACTCAACCAGTTCCTTCACGATTTCCTGTAGAGTAGCACTTTTAGATGTGTAGTCTATATTCTCATTTGTCATATGGGGAAACTTTTTTAATTTCTCATTTACGATTTTTACGGATTTATTAAAAAAAAAAGATTTAATTTATAATTGCTTTACAGCAATTCCACTGATATTTCTAGCAACTTTTTATCATTGCCGCACATAATTAATTTCTTACTGTGCAATTAAATAATGTATCCTTCGATTTTTTTGGTCTTAATTAAACGACTCCTTTTCAATCAGAACCGCATATTAGACAAAATTCAAAAAGTTTAATTAATTTATGTTTAATAATAATTTACAAAATCTTATTTGTAACAAGATCATTAGTGCTTTAAAGGCTAACAGAAGAAAATATTTCTCTTTTGATACAAAGGATCACGAGGAGTGGATGCACCCTATGCAGTCATAATGTACGTTCACGGTGAAAGCTTTGAATGGGGATCCGGCAACTTTTATGACGGATCCGTTCTTGCTAGTGCTGGTCACGTTATTGTGATCACTCTTAATTATCGCCTTGGAATATTAGGTAAGATAAAAAAAATCTAATATTATATATTTCCACAATATAATTACTTAATTTTAATTCCCAAACAATGGAAATTAATTTTTCATTCTATTTTTCTACAAATCTACGCTGACAATCACTTGATCCTTTGAATGAAAATTAAAAATTTCTAGCTAAAAGAGCTAAAAGTTTTACAAAAAAAAAAAAAATTAATTGACTGAGATATATTTTTCACAGGTTTCTTGCGAACTGCCTCCTATCCTGATGTGGTTTCAAGTTCTGGAGGTAATTTAGCACTCAGGGACATAGCAATGGGACTTCGTTGGGTTCGGGATAACATTGCTGCCTTCGGTGGTGACCCCACGAGAATCACGTTAATAGGTCACGACACGGGAGCCGCTCTAGCAAATTACCTACTACTTGCACCCTTTGGGAAAGGTGAGTACACTGAACTTTTATTTCTCAACTTTCAATGCCAGCTCGCCGTTAATTTAAAAACCATTTATTACTTCGAAGACAAATATATATATATATATACAAAGAGAGAAATAGCGTAAAGTAAGAAAGTTAGATAACGCTTATGGCCAAGTTTAAATATATTAAGCAAACTGAAGAATTTAAGTTAGAGAAACTAAACTCTCAGTTGACATTTCTCTCTCATCGTTCAAAGAGAGAGGGAGAAAGATAGAAAGAGCGTAAGGATTCAAAAACTCGTAATCGAGATTTATCCAAAGTTTCCACGGATATCGTAGTGACACCGTTCGGCAATTAAAAGTTAATATCGTCAACGCCAGACCAACGATAAAAGTTCACTTGGTCTGTAATTAATTAACGCTATACAGACACCCCGGTAAAACTTTTCTAGAGCGCTATTGATTATTTTAACTGCAAAAAAAAGACGAAAAAAAATATAGGATTGGATCATGGAAAATGTTCTTTCAGTTTCAAATTGAAACGATTCAGGATTTTTAAAGTAATTAGATTATATTTTTATTTAAAAAGAAATCGCGTCCATTGCGGTGGAGTTAAATAAAAATTATCCCTAATTGCGGATCATGTAAACAAAAATCAAATGGAAATCGTCGAATTTATTTTAATATAAATGATTATTTATTCCTCAAGATTTAATTGTAAAAATAAATTTTGAAGAGAATATAGATTATGTTTATTAGCCAAATTAGTAAAACTACCGAATTCTCAAAAGACGTCAAGTTGAAGTCTCTTATAAACCACTTGTGGAAAAAAAATAATGTCAATCAGCTCATATAAAATTGTCGCTTAACACAGATGCTGGGTGAAATGTATTACAATCGCTGACCAAATGCAAACGTCATGGGTATGTAAAATTTGCAACGTACCACTTTGCTTATTGCCCACAAGAAATTGCTTCACCGCTTACCACTTCTAAAGGAAGGATTTTACGAGGAAGTTTGGTACAATTTTTCACTCAAATCTAAAAAAGTAAAAAAAAAGTAAATAAAAAAATAATATTTAACTATAAATTAGGTCACGAACTTCTTAGAATATTTGAAACAGTTGCAGATTTCGTTTTTAAAAAAGGCCCATATATAATATATTTATTGTATAACGTATTTTTACACTCAATAATTACTCTTAAGTTTAATTTCTAAATTTTACTGTGACAACTAACAAATATTTTTTATTACTAAAATCATAAAACTTTGACTAAATTAGATCTCAAATTCAATACAAAATGACTCGATATTTAGAACTTAATTTTACGTTAATTTAAATTTTCGAAAAATCAAATACAAAAAATAAGCAAACCGTTGCGGTGTGACTTAACTTTTTATTCTTCTGGACATTATATTTTCAATATGTTTTGGACTTTTTGTACTGTAATCAATATAATATTTTGTAATATACTAATTTTTAAAAATATAATATATCACATTCAACAATAAAAATCACAATATGTAATTATAAAATTGATCACAAGATTAAATTAAAAGAAAAGCACAAATAAAATACTTAATACAAGGTAAACAAAATAAATTTATAATAAGAAACGTATATAAAATGTATAGAATAATATATTTAATCATTTAAAATTTCATTTATGACTCGAGTCATTAGATTAAGTTAAAATAATACAATAATTTCTTGCCCGCGTTACAATTAGACATTCAAACACATTCATACACAAATCAACACATAAAAAATAATTTAGGACAGGAAATATAATAATAAAAATATACAACATAAAATTGGAGTCAAAAAGAACAATAACGAGTCAACAAAATAAAATACTCATCGCTTTCATGGCGGGAAAAGTCAGGGGTAGCGTGGGTCCGGTGAGTGGCTTGGTCGAGTTTATGTGAACGGCTCAACGGTAAGGTCCTCAATTTCCTCCTTTAATTCCGTAACAAAAAATGGATCTCAATCCTGGACAATTCGTCCTCTTATACAATTTCTCGCCAATCGCCCCGGTAGTTCTCCACCTTTGTTAATTGTTGCCCTGACAATAATTCAATTTCCGCCCATAATTTCCCATAAAGCGCCACACTATTAAAAATTAAAGAACAAAAAAATAAATAAATAAACAATTTATATAAAATAAACGAAAAACGACGACAGAAAATTACACAATTACCTTGAGGTCTACGGCGTCGGACGTCGCGTATGGCGCGGAATTTCCCATATATAAATTCGGAAAGCGAATGAGGCAGAGAATTAGCGGGGCGATCAGTTAAAGCCGCGAAAGATTTCCCCGAACCCACCACGCTCTTCTCCGAAACACGAGTTCCATTGCCGAAATCCCTCGATCTTCGCTAATTATCCAAATAGCCTATATACAGGCGGCTCGAAATATATACGACATTAAATATGATTCCTACAATTTTCTTTACAAACTGTAACTTGACTTCATTCCGTTATTATTAACAATAGCAAGAAAGTAAAACATTACTATTATTAATTATTAAAAATGACTTACAATTATGCTCTGCAACGATGACTGGACCCATGACGGAAAAACGTGTTATTGTAAATTGATTTGAACTTCAAATTAAACTGAATTTATAATAATTGAATTAAATATTGTAATTGGATATGAATTAGATTTTATTAATTATGTCTGTAACTTGAAACACATAATTGAAAGCTATTAAAAACTAAACATGTTGACTCGACGAGGGCTGGGTGGCAAGAGAGAGAGAGAGTTTGAAAACTAAATTCTTAATTCATACTAAAATTGTCACTAGATGACGCAACTATTTTCTTTAATTTTAACCAATCAGAAAGATTTTCCTACCTTACTTCTCCAAAAATTCTGAATTACTAATACAACTTATCGACTTTTCCAATGTCAAGCTCGCGGTAACTTGAACATTGCAACCTGTCAACCGAAATAAATAGCTTCTTTGTTAAATAAACAAAGCCTGCCAACCTAAAACTAATCTAAACTAAATTAATGCCAAATTCCTTAAAAATGTAGCAGATGTATATTTCAACTGAACTTGTGTCAAGTATAGGAAATTCTCAAAATGCGGTAAACATTTATTCATTATGCGTAGCGAAATTTAAAAAACAAAGATTCAAAATTTTAATGACGATTGGTGCAATTATGACGTCAATCACAAAAAATAATATCATAGTATATATACAAGGAAAAATTAATTAATTTTTAACACTAACAAATAACATCCTAATGACTGGTCACGGTGCGGCAGAAGGAGATTTAAATAAAAATGAATTGGCACTTAAAAATTCTATTTGATTATGGTTCTAAGATGAATAAAAACTTTTCTCAATAGGTTTTAAAATCAGCTTACGTGCCCAATTTAAAACAAATTGAGTTTTAAATATTTAAAAATAGTGTTTTATAAGGAACCAGAATTTATTTAATGTATACTTATATGCGTATAGATAATAGATGTTTTAGATTTGGGTACATATAAATTTATTAACAATGAAGTTATTTTCTTGTTTCGTTTTTATATTTATGCATTAAGAGTGTCAAATGGTATCTGAAATTCTTTGGCAAGAAGAGAGCTTTAATTATCGCTCTGAACGTGAAATAGTATTGAATTTTAAAATACTTTTTTCTCGAAACACGAACACTTTTAACAAAATCAGCCAAAATCCTCATCTTATAAATTTCCTAAATCCAAAAGACTGTACGAATCCATAGAAAAACATGGTTGCAAAACAAAAAGTAGAAAAGTAATCTAATAACAGCTGCGACTTTGTGCGCCCTGCATGCTGCTGCCATCTGACGGCGGCAGGAGGTAATGTACCTGTCATTATATTACTTTTCGTTTTGCAGTCGTGTTTTTGTATGGATTCGTATAATCTTTAGGATTATTATTATTATTACCGAATATTACAAGCAGACTGCCATTGACTATACTGAAGTGAATTGTTCTCTGCTTAAAAAATATTATTTCTAACAATTGTTACATATCGTATATTAATGTATTAAATACCATCATTTTTATGTTAATTAAATGATGTTCGTCTCCATCGGATGTTACAAATAAGAAAAAAGAACATTTCTGAATCAGCACAGCAAAGAACATGTTGAGTAGCAACGAACAATTATTTTATGCAAGCAGAATTGATAAAAGCAAGAAAAATCAATTATCCAACTTTCCGAGATTGAGAGCTTTATCAAATAAATTACTTCCCTAAATATATTTTTTATAAACAATTTGTTCAAGTTACCAATTGCTTATAAAACAAAAATTTTTAAAGGTTTACTATACCTACAATTTTTCTGACTATTAAAAGAACAGTACAGTGAAAGTAAGAGCAAAATGAAACAGTCTGAAAAGCTCGAAAGCAAAAGGAGTTGTGACATTTTAAAATACTCTAACGGAAAAAGTAAAAAGAATTTTAATATTTGCATGAGAGGAAAGAAGTATGAGGAGAGAAGGATAGGGAACGGGAGTTATATGGACACAGTGAAAAGAGTATGCTGTGAAAGGGAGTAGATTTTCGCAAAACGGAAGAGACGGGCCGAGCTTTCTCTCTCTCTCTTGAAAACGTGACGTGCCACTTTAACCACGATCTCGGACCGGAAGTTGAGTCGAAAGGGTAGCAGAGAGGGAGAGCGCGCGAGTCTCTTTTTCTCAGGGTAAAAACTGGTGCTTCGGTATTGGAGTAGTGCGCGAAGCGCATGGCGATGTAAACTGTTTGCTCCGTTTCCGGTACCACCGGAGGTTTGGGAAATGGCACTGCAGAATGGATCCGGCGTCTGCTTCTCTCTGTTCGACTTTCCCCACATCTCCTCATCCTCCTCTTTCTTTTCATATAGTCTCTACCTTTCTCGTTGGGTTTGTTGTAAGCCAACGGCTCTGTTTTTTTTCACCAATTCCTAGAAAACGAATACAACACAGAAGGACCACAGGGAATAGCAACAGATACACCCTGACGCGTACTTCTCAATCACAGTATTTTACTCTCTTTTTCTCCTT